GAAGTCACACACTCACAAAGTTTTGATTTTAATATAATAAAGAACATACAGGATATTTTAGATCAATGATTTTTGTAAAAAAGTTTTAGAAAAATCTGTAATGTTATAATATTCGTGATGTTGGAATGATATCTCTAGTAAGAATTAATAAGAAGATAGATCAATATGCATGAATGTTAAAGGTGATAGAGTAACGAGGAGAAAAAATGTTTTTAAAAAACATTAAATATGCACAATATAAATATCAAACAATCATGTACATACAATCATACACTTTCTTTAAGTGAATGCCACATATTACTTTTATCCAAAATAAAACAATGAAAAGAATAATGTTTTTTAGGGGTTTATCTCAAAGAAAAATTAAACAAATTTCATAACAGCGATTTGAATTTGTAAAATTTCAAAGGATAAAAAACAAATTAATTTTTTTACTGTTCTCTATATAACAAAAAGCAATCTTCTAAAAAATGAAGATCAAAATCATAAAAGTAGAGATTTCACGCTTTAAAATGAATCCAAGTATTTTGTTTTCTATAAAGTTACAATTCAAGTATTTGTAATTTTTTTTGGATATTTAATATTTCATTAATTTTAAGAAATAATTTATTTATCAAAATGAAGAGAAATTAATAAATGATATAATTAAGTAGAATTGTTGCCTAAAACTGAAGCAACATAACAAAATTTTTAAGTATTTAAGACTGATTTGTCAAAAGCATATAAATGTTAAAATTACTTTTATGAGAAAATTATTTCTTTTAAAAATCTAATGATCGAATGATATAAGTGATATATCTTTATTATAATTAATATATATAATTTTTATTATATTAATAAGTCTTATCCTTTTGTCTGATTAAATTTTCTTTATGCAAATTAATTAATTATTATTTATATAAAACATATAGAATCAAATTTATTCGTCAACATAAAGATATATAGTATAGAACAAATGAACTATCAATAATATATATTTAGAAAAAAAAAATAATACATTATAGCCTACATTAAATTAAAAAATCAGTGAAAAGTCAATTCGAGTTTGTCATTAGCTCTTCTTCTGGATATTCTTCCTTAACATTGACGAACGAACTAATTTTCTTCAAATTTACACATAACATTAAATAAGTTACAAATAAAATTATTATTGAAAAATAACACTTATATTTTATCATCTGATCAACGCATTTCATTATTGTTCGTTATACATCAAACATTGATCAATTGATCATTTGTAATTAAGTAACTCCAGAAAAAAATGCTGACTTATTGACTTATATTGGCTCAATTTTCTTACGATAAATAATATTCGATGTAATCTCTTTTCTGTTGTTACAAGTTTTTGCTTGTTGTACAATATTTGTTCTATACTATTCTGACATTAATATTAGATAGAGCAACATGAATTCTCGTTACCATTTCCTCCGTTTAATGTTGATGGACAACGGTATACTTCATTTTTCAGATATTCCCCCCCCCCTCCCCCCAAAAAATCAAGATTTCATATCTTGCCAATCCTGTCTCGAAAGATTTCATCTAAATAGGCCTAGATATTTTTAGCGTTATGAATTATATATGTTAAAAAACCATATTTCGAATCTGTAATGGAATTTCTCTTAGAATAGAATTCAGAAAGAATATCTTCTAGAAATATTTTATACATTTGATCTATTGTCAAGTATATACATATATAAATCATATATATAATAATAATATCAAATGTCATAAAAATGATAGATTAACGAACTTGTGCCGAACGTGAATGAAGCGAAAAAAAGCGCTTCATCTGTTTGTAACACGTATTTTTAGAACGAAGGATTCCGTTCCATTTTCTCCAATAATTATCTCGAGTATTTAAACTGTTGAATATATTTGTACACATTCAATATGTTATACTGTTTGAGAAGACGATATACTGATTGGAACAAAAGGAAGACATTTATTATTAAACAAATATTTTTTAAATTAAATGATAATTAATCTTATACTAAGACTTTTTTCTCAGGTGGCTGATGTTGCAAACGCTAACAGTAGCATCTTTTTCTATCATTGGCATTGCACGGACGATCTCCGCTTCCTTAAATTATTAATATTATTATGTAATAATATAATTATGTAATAATCAATAGAAATTCTGAAATTCTTTGTCATTGGGCTAATGCCCACAATATATTAAAATATTCCATACTTGTCCACATGATAAACATGCGCTATGATGCAAAGTTTACTGAATTCATAAAGCTTTTGAGAATTTTATTTAGTCCAAATAGTTTAAGAGTTTACAAATTTCTGATTGTCTTCAGATTTGTAAGAATGTCTTTGTTCTTCTCCACATTTATTTCAGTGCATTCCTTGTTAAGGCACACGATGAGCCAACGACACTTAATTAATTAAAATTTCTAGAATTAGACTGAAGAGGAATACTGCATAATGTAAAATCCGTCATTCCATTATTCAAGAAAATTAATCAAACATTTCCTCAAATATAGAATGATATTGAAGAATCATCATTATCATGAGGTTGACACGATTTGAAAATATTGTCTCAATGTCTCATTCATATTTCAATTACGTTATATTAACATGAACCTCCTGTATATAGAAACAAAAAGAGGCTCAGTTAGGCTCAGAAGACAGCACTCATCACCATGGCTTACATAATTTCTTCTTATCATTTATTTATCTTGATAAAGCAATTGCCTATTTGGATGTTCACCTAAAATACAGAATGCATCAAGAAACATCAAATAAGAATGATTTTTAAAAGTGATAATGCTTACTGCGACAAAATTATTTTGGCCGATATTCTTTCGGATGATCTTTTAGAAAAAGACATAGAAGAAAATGGTTGATTTGCTCACAAGCTTTGTCTACGTTTGTCAAAGCAAGATTATCAAAAAAGCAATGTGAAATCATCAAATTGAGTGAAAAAAATTATTTATTATGTTGTTTTGTAAAAAGCTAAAAAAGATTGCTATCCTTTTCAATCGTACATAGCAATTTTAACTTGTGCTGAGATCAAACTTCAATATTTATTAAATCAACTAATCGTTTTTTGTTAAATTTAGAAGAGGTATTAAATAATGATAGAAAATGAAGAAAATAAATTAAAATTAAACAATAATGGAATTGTCATGAATCGAAACTAACACAATTTAAACAAAATTTGATAACAGTTTGATTGCAGTTCTTCAGATTGCAATATATTTCAAAGTTCTTTAGTATGTTTACAATTAATTCTTTTTTTTTTAATATTCAATAAATAAAATGTTATTTGACAAATTATTGTAAAAAATCTATTGACATCATAAAGAAGAAGAAATAAATTACATACAAAGTCAAATAAATGAATTAAATAATAACAAAAATTGAAGGAAATTTGTTTACTATTTTCAATTATAAATGGAAAAATATGCAACAAATAATATTACAATTATGAAATTTTATATAATTCAATAACTTATCAAAAATAGGAGATGTTAATCTTTAAATTTGTTAAAATTTGGTTTATCTATTTTACATACAAAAATAAGATTTCTTGAAATTTTATTATATATTTCTTATTCAAATTACGTAAAAAATGACAAATAAAATTTCAGAAAATATGTTTAAACGAAGAAAAAAAGTTATTTGGAAAAGTAATTGAAAATTTTTTTTAAATCACGAATTAACAAATACAACAATAGAAATTAAAATCAAATTAATATTCACATTTAAAATTATTTTAGAAACAATTTCAAATGGATATAAAATTGCAAATATACGCAAAAATTTTCAGCTTATGCCATAGATACAACATGAAATTATATATTCAATATATATTCATAGTATCCACCAGCAACATTACGTACAAAAATATTCAAAACAGGCTTGTAATATGAATATTATCAATAGATTTTCATTTACTCTCAAGCATAAGAGCGATTCCTCTACTCTCAAGCATAAGACCAATTCCAAAGAGGAAAAAATTATTTTTGAAAGAAACATTAGAATTAATTCTTCCTTTTAAATCTATAGATGAAAATGAAGAAGAAGAAATATTGTCAGAAGAATGTTGAGAAGCATTTTACTGAGAATTAAAAATAATTTTTTAACTTTTTTAATTTTTTTTTTAATTAAATTATTATTTATACATTTTTTGTTAAAATAAAATGTCTAAATTCAATATAATTCATAAAAAAAAACAATTTTTTATTTTCAAAGCGTTCAATAATCCACTGCATGTGTATGGTCATATTCATTTTATTGGCTGATTTGATTATTCATAATGTTATCATCTTCAACTGATATCATAAAACCAGTATATATTTGAAAATACAAATTCCCTTTCAAATAATTGTATTTTTATCTAAAATCATTCTTTTTTAATGGAATTTGACTTATTATAAAGATAAATAATTCGATTTGTATAAAAATTTTAATTTTTATTTAATTTTTTTTATTTAATTTAATTTCTACAGTACTTACATTTATTTTATGAATTTTTAATATATTTTATCTAGATTATGAGAATTTGAAGAATATGCGAATTTTATTATAACTTTGTCTGACATTTTGAATAATCTACTATGCCTGAGAAAACTGGTTAGCGACAACCAACTATGGTTTAGATAATCAGTCATAAAGAAAAAAGAAAAGAGGAGGGCGAAAATATCTAGAATTCAAAAAGAAATATAAATAGAAAAAGAAAGAGGAAAAAATTAGGGTATCCTTTCAGGACAGTAATGGTAAACTGCACTAAGGGAAAAATTTTATATATGAAAGTATATTATAACTAAAAGTCAAATAAAATTGGACGACATTGGCACTGCAAACTAATCTATAAAGAGAGTTTGATTCTTGAGATTTCAAACTAGAGGGAATTGCGCTTATTACTAATTACTGATTAATGATTAATGATGGAATTAAGTGAACTAATAATAATTTATTTTAAAAATATTATAATATATCTAGATAGTTTTTATTAATGATAATTTATCTTTTTATTTTTTATGTACCTTTTTTAATTTCTTTGCTCTTGTTGGAGATGCTATTATTTCATGCATCAATTTAGAAACATTCAATCCATTTGATTTGCCTAAATTTCTATGGCAAAATTCTTAATTCTGCAATTTCTATTTTTTTTTCTATTGTTTTCCATATTCACTTCATAGTTTTCATTAAAAAGTTCTTTTTAATCCTCCTTTATTTATTGTATTTGACTATTTATTTAAACCAACTCTGATTTTGATTTAAGAATAAATCACAGTATCTCTTTGCTGATTATTCTTAAACCGATATCTGAAATTTTTTAATTTTTGATTTTTAAATTATTTTTTTCCTTCAGTGAATATTCTTCAGAATTTAATAATGTGGCCTTCAAAAAATCAAATTTAATATTGTTACATACTTTTATGATTTCATACAACTATGTCATCGTTATAATTTTGATACCTATTTTATAAATAAATTTCGTATTATAAAAATTATTAAAACATTACAGCTAAATCATTAGCATATTTAGACAAAATAGACAAAAATTTACATGTGATTTAAAAATGAATGTACTTCATTAAGAATAAATATTGATATGAGGATATAACAAACAGAATGTAAACAGAAATTTGGTAAAGAGATAGATTTTGATTCACAAATCAATGATTCTTGATTGATTTTTAATAATAAAAACATTTCATATTATTTTTATAAAATACAAATATTTCTGTAATAAATAATTTCTAGAATAAATAGTTATAATTTTACTAAATGAAATTTATTATTATATTGTAAAAAAATAACATAATTTTAAATTATATTCAGAGTAATATTGGAAAAATACTATTATATATTATATATTATATATATATAATATATATAATAAGAGATATATAATACATATCATATCTATAATTTATATATAATACAAGTAAAAATTATGTATATCTTCTACATTTGTTAATTACTTTAATAAAAATTATATATGTATCTTATAAAATATTTTTTAAATTATTAACTTTTTATTATATTATACATTCTATTAATAAATATAAAATAAATATAAAATTTCATATTATTTGCTTTTATTGAAAAATATTTGATTTATAATAATATTAATAATAATCATTTAAAAATAGAATATAGTGATATATGAATAATAACTTTTTAATTATATATATTTTATATATCATTTTTTAAAAATTTTAATAATAAAAATTAATAATTATATTTCCTAATATTTTCTTAAACGATATTTTGATCATTCTAAATTATTAACTATATAATATTTTATTAAATACTAAAATTGAATTTTACTAGAAAAATATTCAGATATTTGATATAAAGATAATATAATAATATTCTTAAAAATCAATCTGTAGTTAAAAATATAGAAATTTTTCATTATTTGTTATTCATAAAATAATTGTATTATTCACAATTACTAAAAGAATCAATAACATAAAGAAAAATATAAAGAAAACTTATGATGTCCATTCATTTTAAAGATGAAATTATTTATTATAAGTATAATTTCAAAAAATGAATATTTATGTTTCATAAAAAATAAGAATAATTATAATAATAATTATATAATATAATAATTATAAAAAATATTTAATTTGATAAATTATTGAATTATTTTTTTCAATAATATATATATATATATATNACCTTTTATTTTATGATTAGTTAGATGATACTGTATTATTTATTTTTTATAGTTATTTCGATGTTTATTATTATTGCAATTATTATTATTATATAACGTTATTTTGTTATAAAGAATTAAATTAGACAAAAAATAAAATTAAAACCAAAGAACACGTGTAAATTCTATAATTATTATTCTGTCATATGTAAAAGAAGAAAAGAGACAACACAAAAATAGACTTTTTCTATTACTTATTAACTTGTAATAGTACATAACCTTTCCTGTAATGTGATGACTTTTGATCACATACACATATATGTGTTTATTTTTATGAATGTATTAAATTTTTCAAAATCAGATTCGTTGCAAATGTCAACCTGCCAACTCTACAATCGTATAAATCATTTAAATCATCATTATTTCCCTATATATATTGTAAATATTTCGAAATATTTTTCTTGTAAGTAAATTATTTGAAATCACTAACAATAATTTTATCGATATTTTATTAATATTTATTATTTTTTATATTGATGCGATTATTTTACACTAAGATCTATAAATTTAATAATATGAAATTTTTCTCATTTATTATTTTATAAAAAATAATACAGAAAATATTAAAATATTATTAAATCATTATACATAATGGTATTATTTATTTCTATTTCTATTTTATTTCTTATATAAAATAAATTTGAATTATTTTATTAATTAATAGAATATTAATAGAATATTAATAGAATATATATATATTCTATAATATATATTCTATATATATTCACTGTATTATTACACTATATATATTATACTATATATATACTATATATTATATATATTATATATACATTGTTAAATATAAATAAAGTTCTTAAATGTGTATATATAATCTAAATGTTTGCACAATTGTTTAATAGTTAATTTTAATATTATTTATGTTTACTAATCTAAAATGTTATTGTCTTTTACAAAGTTGAAGAGAATCTATATACTTTTTTGTTTTTAAAAAAAGTCAGTTCTGTACTTTCATAAATAGCTAATTAATCAATTTTGAATTTAACAATAACAATATAATACTTATTATACAATAATAGATAATAAAAAAATTTATGATTAAAGTTAAATATTTGCATTCATAATTGAAGTTATTTCTTATTATTTTTTCTTATAAGTTATCCTATAGATCATTTTATGATATAATTTGATCTAGGAATTTCACTGTTAATTTATTTTTTATTGTAAAAAATTCTATTTATTATTACTTGGTATTTATAAAAAGTTCACTATTAAACAATCTTTTTAGATTTAAGAAAACAAATATTATGATAATATATCATGAAGAATATTTATACTAATAAATTTATTATGTTGATTTATAATGATATTTATTCATTTAAAAATATTTTTATTCATATAAAATTTTTCATATAAATCTTTTTTTAATTATTAATATATTTAATATATTTTTTTCTAAAGATATACAAAAAATAAATATAATAAATATTTTTAAATAATTTTTTAAATTTATATTTAGTAATAATATATTAATAAATAAGTATTTTATTAATACTTTTTTATTTTCTGTAACAAGAAAATAGTAGATACAATTTAGTAGAATATTTCTGTCAATAATAGCTTTTACTTTTATAATATTATGAATTTGATTATTGAAAAGTAAGTTTTTGTTTTCATTTTTTATATATTAAAGCCTTATAAATAGATTACTAGTTTCAATTATTCTATTTTTTATTATTTTTCTGTCATATATTTTCATATATTTCATTTTTTTTTGATTATTCTTTTTCTTGGCTTCAATTAGAAACTTTAATATATTATCTTGAATATATCTTGAATATATATAATAATCTTAATATAATATAATATATAATATATAATATATAATATATATAATAATCTTGAATATATCTGCATTTTAATTATTTCATTTTGTTCTACATTTCAAGTGATTTCTTTTACATTTTTTTCTAAAGAAAATACAGATCATTTCCTTCAAGACTTCATAATCCATTAATTTTAATCGTTATCATCAATTCATTAACATAATCCATTATCTTTAATTCTGCATAATCTTAAATTTGTTACAGATTTTTTTTTTTATTAATTTTTGACACAATTTTACTAAATAAAATAGTTTAGATAGAAATTACATTTTTCTTGTATAAATATTATATTTTATTATTATTAATAAAAACACTTTTTTGAAATTTGAAATTATTTCAAATCTTATCTTGAATTTCTTAAATTTTTCATATTTTCTTTCTATATTTGTCAAATCTTGTTTTTTATTCATTATTTTTTTTCTAAATTTATATTATGTATTATAATATTTTATTTCATTTTCCATATTTATCAAATCTTTTTCTGAATATAAATATCCAATGTGCAATATGTTGGTTTTTGTAAATGAAAAATATGGATTAATGATTAAAAAATTTGTATCTATTTTATTAATTTAAGATACTTTATTGCATTTTCGTAAATATCAATATGAAAATGCAATATAAATAATGCAATATAAAATGCAATAATATAATATAAACCATATTATATAGAATATAGAAAATATTATAGAATTTTATTATAGAATTTTATATTATAGAATTTTATTAAATTATAGAATAATACATTAGAATAATATTAAAAAAATTTATTATTATTATTATTATAATTCCATAAAAGAAAATTTTTCAAATATGGAAATACCTCATTATAAATTTACATTTAAGAATATTGTTATACTTAAAAGAAACATGACGTCAATAAAATATTTTGTTATTATACTGAATTTCAATCATTGCTTAAACAGTTTAAGCTTTATAGTGTTAGGTTAAAGAATCGTTAAAGTATTATTAGAAACAGTTAAAAATAATCCTAGAAAAGATCGTTCAAAAAATAAATAAATAAAAAAATTTAACGATTAATTTAAAAAAAGTTCAAAAATATTATAATATTGAACTGAAAAATTTACAATCGCATATTAATAACTAATAAAATAATAATTTTTTAAAAAACAAAAGATTATTGTACATAAAAAACTGGTAAAATAAAAGAATTTGCAAAATATTTGTAAATATTTGAATTTTGGAAACAAATCATTTTTACAAATGAAAATAAATTTGATATCCTTTGATTCCAATGGATCATTTAAGATAATGCAAAAATCATGAAAGGATTCGAAATATTCGTAATTTCTTTAAATTTTATCATTATTTTTTTTAATTTGTTTGTGCAAAATTTTTGAAATATATTCGAAATTCATTTTACAAATTTATATTATTCAATGAATCAAAATTGTAGAATTTTATTTTGTTCAATAATAAGATTCAAAAAACTTATCATCGACATTTAGTGTAACATTTTCAATAATAGAATGGTGTACATGATTCTTCAAGAATCGGAAAATCCAAAAGATCTAATCGAAATGAATTTCAAATGACCTAAGAACAACAAAATAATTATTATATAATTGTGTCATTGTATATATTACTGGAGATAAATATAGATATACATATAGATAAATTTTAAAATTTTTGGCAAATGTTTTAAATTCTAGAAATTCATGATTCAATCAATTAATTAATTCAATGTTTTAATTATTCAATGTTATATTAGTATTGTCAGATAACAACGATTTATATTATAAAATATATAATTTTATGTCAATTGATCTTAATGAATCTTAATGACGAATTATCAATTTGTATGATCACTTATGAAAGAATGTTTTAAAGATAAAAAAATATCAATTGATCATTATACGCGATGATTAAATTATATTTATAGATAGAACTAACATTATCGAATCAAGAGACATGAGAATATAGCGAAAGAGAAGGGAGTCGATTAGTAATGACTTAATGACTTGTTATCGGTATGAAATTGTTAGAAATTTAGAATAGAATTGCTAGACATCAAGCTAGTATTCTAGAAAGAAAATTATTCTCTGGAATAATATAATACTAATGCTTATGAATAAAAAACGATCTCTTCTTATGAGAAATTTCTTTTAGTAGTACTGAATATAACTCTTACATAAATAAAATGATGTCATGCTTAACAAATTCAGATCATTTATATCATCATTTATACTTAAGAAAATTAAGATAGTATACGATTTCTAATAACTGATTTAATCATACAATTTTAATCCATAGATTATTAAAATTTTTCAAATTTGAATATTATTACATAATTTACTTTCTTAACATCCTTATTTTAAACTTCTTAAAAATTTTACAAATAATATGTCACAATGATTTTTTTTGCATGATGATTTAAATTTGTTTTATATCATCGATTCATCCAGCTTAAAATTTATATAATTTAATTTATAAATTTATAAATCTTGAATCATAATGAATCTTAAACGAAACAAACTTTCTACTGATGTTCTTAAATACTGTATTATTTATTTTTCACAATTATAACAACTTAAAATCTTGAAGTTTAAAAAATGAGAATTTGACTACCACATTTTCTTTTAATCTATCATTCTTTAATATTGCTAATGAATCTTGAACTTCATTATTAATTTCATTAATAAAAATGTTTTAACAATATGAATATTTCATTTTGTTTTTTAGTTCACTCCCTTTTTTCTTGTATTATAATTGTATAACATTTATAAATTAGAGAACGTTTTATAAAAATAAATTACGCTTTATTAACTGAGAAATTCATATAATAGCCAAACGACAGCTTTCAATTTCTGTTATTATAAATGTATTGTATTATAAATCAGGAAAAATTCTCAAAAACAGTAATTAATTTTTCCATGCTAGCAGTTTTCCATGCCATCACTATGCCTTGGTTTCTTTCTTTCATTGGCTTCATTCTTTCATTGTCTTGTCCTCTAGAAAATTATAGAATTCATATAGAATATGCAATCTTCAGCAACGAATTTTGACAACAGCCATTTTGAAATTGATATTTCAAACGATTCGAGATAACAAGAAATGTATGAACTCAATAAAATTCTAAAAGCAAGTACTTTTAGAACATGAAACTCAAATTTAAAAAAAATAAGATCAATATATCTAATTCTTGTACAAATATA